AAAAAAAAAAAGTGTGTAAATTGAACATGAACTGTTTTTGCAAATTGAAGCTAAGAGACAACATATGTAAAAAGATTCAAAGCACCTATCCTCTCACCTATTATATTCTAATTAAATTATCCAAAATCAGACAAATTAGAAGCAGTAAATAATTTTTTTCTTTGTAATATAGGTACCAACACAGTTACGTGATCCTTGTTATTATTGAGAGGAAAAGGAAAAACGAAAAACCAACATAGAAGTTATCGAAAGCTAAAACCATGCGCGCGCACACACACACACACACAGAGAGAGAGAGAGAGAGAGAGAGAGAGACTGATGAGGTAAATCACCTAGCAACAGTGACAGTCCAAGGGGTGATGTACTGGTCCTCGGTGGCGGTATCCTCGCCGTAAACATCCTCCACGCCGCCGCCGACGGTGGATTCTGCCTCTTCCTCAACCACCGACAAGGATGAAGAGGGAGCATTCTCTCTCATCTCCTTGAGAGTATTCTCCATCAAAACGCCGACGTTTCGATCCATCGGCTTGCCATTTGAGCTCACGGAGGCCACCACCATCGGCGGAGCTGATACCTTCCGCTGTGCAGACTGTGTCAAGCCTTTCGACACACAAGAGAGAGAATTGTTCTGCACGAGAGATCAAACAAAATCAATTCTCCAAACATTTCCAGAAATCACAATAAAATCAAAAGCATAATTTTTGAAGAACACCATTTTTTTATTTTTTTTTGGTCCTTTGTTTCATGAAATAGGTTTTCAGAATATAAATCAAACAAGATAAACTGACACATTGAAGCAACAAATTGGAATTTAATTAGAAAAAATAAGGAATATAAAGTATCTGTGAACTTGGTTGAAGGCAAAAAATTTACCAGAAAAGTGCTTCCGCTTAATGAAAACATGGTGATCTTGGTCTCTGCTGAATGCGTTTGTATGGTGAGCTGTGAGAGAGTGGAAATGGAGGAGAAAAAATGAGAGAGAAGAAGAGATGGCGAGTGGTACTCTCCTCTTTTGTTCACCTGTGAATTGTGATTCTCTCTCTTCTCCC